CCCGTACAATTCAATGTAAAACACTTTGGATCAATAGCCTTCAAATATTTACATCTGATTCTGTTTCATAACAACGTTCAAAAATGGAGCGCTGACACAAACACACGTAATCCAACATCCACCTGAAGAGCGCGAAGGAGTCGCGGGTTGTGATCAATCTGGCGCTCGCGGTCGGACGGGCTCGCTGAAGTGTGATAAGTGGGCTGGCATTTCATCAGCCTAATGCGGATCATTGTTTGTAATGCCCCGCCCACGTTGGCAATAATTAACGCTAATTGATCTAGATGGGGAATCGTACTCGCGCTCTTTGAGGTTATTAATCATTGTTATGTCGGCCTCACTTGTCCAAAAATGACACCGTGCTGTTTAGTCGCCGCTGGAAAGAAAAATCCCAAACAGGAGATGCGACAAATTGACAGGATGCGTTATTGAAGAAAAACCGTGTGCTTTCATGCTTTCTTTTGAACCTTGAGAGCAAACGCGTGCACAGCTGTGTGCCCTCTGAGGAGCACGGCGGGGCCCCCCCGCGGTGTCCAAATGATGCTTTTTGTCCCCTTGTTTTACAACAATGGCGCCTGTGCTCTCTTTTATTATTTATTTGCTATTGAGTGTGGGTGGGTGATGTGGAGGCTGGGTGGGGGTGTTGCACGTAACCAGCATGGCGGCGTCCCCTCGGCCCGGGCGAGGCCTCGTCTGAGGGTTCCGGACAATCATTGGCTTTGGTGGAGCAGACGTCCCTCACTTCACAAAAAACACAAGAGCTTTGATCTCAGCCCAAAATAATGCCCCAAATACTCTCTCTGGTGGGTTTTTGGGAGGGGAGGGGGATTTCAGTACCTTAGATGTCTATTGCTCTGGTCCACTTTGTTCTATAGGCTCGTATTTTGGGGAGGCGCCGGTGCTTTTATCTAACCTTCTAACGCGCCTTCAGATGAAAGTAATTGGGGGGGGGACTACTCCAAAAAAAAAAAGAGCCTCTGTGGCCTTTTTGGAGTGGCCAGAGCGTTTGGACCAGACAAAAAACAAGTAGAATTGTCCGTGTGGAGAAAATACAAGTCTTCTGTATTTCTGGCATCTTACCATAGAAGGAAGGAGCTCCAGCCAGGGATCTCTGGTGGAGCAGATGACGGAGGTCAATCAGCGGCGCTTCATTAATGGCCTCTGAGTGACAGTCAGGAGACAACCAGACAGCGAGTGTTCCTCGAGGAAGCAGCAGTTTGTGAAATATGACAAGCTATAAAACAAACGGGCTAATTTAAGCGCGGGAGCCAGATTGAACGCTGCACACGTCATAAAGCTCCAGGAAAGCATCTTAAATGCAGATCCTGAGACGTCTTTTTTTTTTTTTTGGTTCGTTCACTTTCATGAGTCCGCGACGGACGATTAGTTTCTTTTTTTTTCACAGCCCAGGAAACATAATTTGGAGGGACAGTGATTTGCTGAGCAAAAACGAACGTAGACGGGGAATTTGTCATCCCATCTACGGACGGCACTCAGACGCTCAATTATTCTGGTGCGGAGATGCCGTCTTTTTCTTCTTCCAGCAAAGAGCAGCGACAAACAAATTCGTAAATCAAAAGAGTGGATTTACATGTTATGAGCACTTAAATCCTGCACTTCTTTTCCAACGTCGACGCTGTGTAAATAATTCACGCCTGATATGCTGCCTGGACCCAAGAAAGGCTCGTTCAAGCTCAACTGACAAAATGTGGTAGTGAAGGCATTAAAGCGCCGCGTGCTTATGTTTTCTTCAGATGGGAGCCTTCCAATGGCCAATTAGCAATGGAAAATGGCAAATTGGATTCCTGTGCAGCCCTCTGTCAGATTCACATGATTCAGGGGAGAGGGATTCAAATTCTGACTTTGAATAAAGGCATCTCAGCACTGAAATAGTGTGTGCGGTGTTACCTCGGTGACGTCGTCATTGTTTTACGGTCATCCTGCCTGCACACGGCCGTGTACGCTGACGCACGCAGACCATAGCGCGACCCACCGGAGCACGACCGCTCCTCGGGGCCGACGGCGCGTGAACCCCGGCTGAGCGGACGGGACAACAGGGAGGACAGCGTGGTTACGCTTATTGATAACATGTGCTCAACTCAACTCGCATGCATTAGCAAATAGTTCATTTACTGTTGAGAAACATTTAATTCATAATTAATTATGTTTGTTATTTGGAATGCTGTCATTAAATTCAAATACAATTAAATAATTTTTATATATGTCACACTAAACTATTTAGTAACAGTTCATTCTTGCAGACATTTGACACTGTATTACGGATTTGTTAATGATGAGCAAATAACTTTAAACTGCAAACATTACATGGACCATAAACTAATTAGTACTGTCTAATTAATGTGAATAGATGCCTTACAACTGATTTGAACTATTTTATAAGATGTAGTTATAGTTATAATCACCACTTGCTCTAATGATATAGAAATTGTAGAATAATAAACCATTATTAAGTGTTTACTTCAAAGTATCAGTTGTGCCTTTTATGAAAGCCATCAAAATAATGGCTCAGACACATACGTGATTTATTAAACAGTTAAATAACAATGTTCCTGCAGAGTGTGACGGACCATTTATTATTAACAAGTACTTAATATAATATTTAAAACGCTGTGAGTTTAACAATAACATGTTGCATCAACAAAACAAATAATTAGTAATTATCTTTTTATTTCATTCTTTTGATAGAAGGTAATTAAACATAATTCAAATGTGTTTTTTTAAATATGATAACGCGATAGCAAGAAGACCGGAAGGTATTTTGGGAAAATAATTCTCCTCCTTTGCTCCTCAGTTTTAAAAGTGACATATAAATATCTCTACAAAGCTGAAAACCAGATTTCTTTTCTCCGTCCATTCAGATGCATCAAAATGACTGAAATGTCAAATCTGTCATCAATCCCTAGAAGACAAATATGTGGGAGTTGGTTTCCTAATCGGGCTTAAGAGGCTCAAACAGCTGCTAAGTTAAACCGTGTTAAGCACAGATTTGTGTTTAAAGAAATAATTAAAGGCCGCTCCTTAAATGACTTCTATTAACTGACCTCATAGTCCTCTTCATAAATCAGTGAGCCCAATAATTCTACATTTTGATCACTTGCACTAATCAGCAACCTCATTTCAAAGCAGATTGGCTGCACTTTTTTGAGCGGAGCAGGTCGAGGAGAGCGCTCGTGTCCGCGCCGCTGCTTGCCGCGACTTGAGGGTATGCTGCGTATCACGGAGAAGGTTAATGAAGGTTAATGAACCCAATTTGGAGAATATGTAGCCGTCAATTTGAGACGCACCTGTCTTCATGCATTAATGCGCTGTACGTCTGTTCTTTTGTTAAAGGAGCGTTTGAGAATTCACTGTGACCTCGAGGCAAACCAGACACACCGACCAATCAGACCCCCCCTCACACGAGCCTGTATAAAGGATAATCTCCTTTTGAAGATGACTGAATGACTTTAGTCAGAATCAAAATAGACACCTACGAGCACCCGGTTGCTTTTCTTATTTAATAACCACAAATTGCCATAATTGATTGATCTTCACTTGCTTTTTCCTTCAAATATCCCCACAGCCTTGTATCATAGCGCCTCCAATAAGAACCCATTGCCCCCCCCCCAGTCCTCGGTGCAGACATGAAGCCCCCATGTGGCGTGTTGGATTACACAGGATGTACACACACCTTTTTGTGTCCATCCATTGTCAGGAGGAAAATGAGTTTGGTTTCCACGGCGCTTCAGAGCCTCGCCAGCCGCAGCCTGGCTACGCTCGCCGGGTGTAGGCGTGATGAATGAAAGGTAACCTGATTACCAGCAGAGCTATTAAAACCCCTCGTGCGTGACCCGCCACGGCAGCCTTCTCCGCTTAGCGGCGGGGCCACAGATTGCCGTTTGCCTCGCGGTAGTTGGTGTGCGTCAGTATTGATTAGAATTGGGGTTTTCTTTTTTTTGGTTCATGCTGGGCTTCCGTTCCTTATTTGGAATATACAATTACTGGAGCTGGGTACAGTAATAGTCCTGTTTCTTTTCATTTTCTCACTCTCTCAACTGTGTCTCCTCCAGAATGCAATTATTTGGCAGGTGACACTGTAATATGTAATATGTCCTTTTGCAGGTGCAGCTCGCCTCCCTTTAGAGCAACAAAAGCACGCGTTACCTTATTTAAACAGGTCACTTGGTACAGCTACAGTTTGTCTCATCTGCTCCATGTTATACAATATACGCGTCTTCATAGGTCACATGTCAAACCCCACATAGAGTTACTTATCATTTTCCTATGAAAGACCAATAAACACGTTACTTTCTGCTTATTACATCGTCTTCATTAAGGCAAAAAAATGACCTCATTAGATTTAGAAAAAAACATGGAAAACTTAAATAAGCGCATTCTTTTTTTAGCTATTGCTTCAGAGGCTGGATGAGAAGATGATTCTTTGGGCATCATTTAATTCACAATTTCAAAACTAATTCATTTAAATACTTAATTTTGCACATTTTCAAATTCCTCAGATTGAACTCGTGTGCGAGACTAGAAATCTTTTAGCCATTTATTCATACCTGCCGCTCCTCGTAGAAAACCTTTTAACCGATTATTGCGGTCTTGCACACGTGGGACGATTTGGCTTGAGGCAGAGCCTAAGACCGTTTACCCCCCCAACATGCTCCCTCACACCACCCGTTGTTGTGTTTGTGTGTGAGGCTCAGGGAGGCGGTTCGGCGGTTTGCAGTGTGGGGTCGAGCCTCGCTTCTCTCCCACAGTCTAGCAAAATGTAGGCCAGCGACTTTCTCTGGCGTGCGGCGTGTTTATCCGTGTGAGCTCTGTAATAAACCAGCATGCCGGTTCCCGCCTGCTGCACGCGGCTCCGTACGACGTGACCTTGACTGGGAGTAAGAAGGGAAAAACACTTGAATGTTCATGACAACCCTCTCAGGTGTTCACCACTCGTGGGTATATTTTACTTACTGCTGTGTTCTTTGTTTTTGTTTCTTCAGACTTGGAGAACTTCAAGACCCACAAAAGAAGCTCCGTATCAGTCCGCGAAGGTCAAGGAGTGGTTCTGCTGTGCGGCCCGCCACCGCATTCTGGAGGTACGGCCTCACTTTTTATCACCTGTTGCACCCGCAGACCCACACTAGGATTTTACATTACGTTACATTGTCATTGAGCTGATGCTTTTATCCAAAGTGACGTACAATAAGTGCACTTCAACCACAAGGATACAAACCCAGGAGCAAAAGAAACAAGAACGTGCAATTTGAGTACAACTTGCTATAAAGCCCTCATAAGTACAATTTAAGTGCTGCAACTCGTTTAGTGCTTTGTTTTATTTTGAACCTCTCACTTAATTTCTTTACTGATATATTGTTGCATTTTTAAGTAGCTTCTATGAAACTCTTTTTTTTCCCGCTCAGGGTGTTAAAAATCGTCTGCTGTCAGGATTAACTTGGTTCAGCAGAGCTAGCTATGAATTGGATGATGCATGTTCAAACAGGTTGGGTCTGAAATGAGTCCCCCCCCCCTCCCACTGTCCAGGGAGCTCTGCATAGACGACTGTCAGTTCATTGACACTGATGTTCAACGTGCGCATTTAACTACGTCACTTGTGTTGCACAGATGACGCTCCATCGACTGGCTGGTGCACCGTCCCAAAAAACACTTTTGCAATAAATACATATTGTATTAGGTATTTATTGCAGCCACTAATGCCGTGTTCATGTCTAGGACTTTAATATATTATAGGAGTATTATACCGGGTAGGATTATTCCGACTACAGCCGCACATCAAGAATTCCGGATTCACGCACAGGTTCTCTGTTCGCCTGTAACTGGTTGTAATGGTTTGAGGCTCGTGTCCTTTTGGGCTTTTACCTGACGGATGCTTGGCAGGATCCGATTTACAGGCAGGCGGTGGGCTTTACGCCGCCGTATAAGATTGTTATTTATGGTGAGAACAGTCACTGTTTTCACATCTGACAATTTGGGCTCAGGTTATCCAATTAATCAGGTAATCCAATTAAGGTCAGTTGTTTTTTTGTCAAGCAATGGGAAAATAATTTCTAGATGAAAGACATCTTCAGGCACATGCGAAGCCCCCTCAAGACACGAACATAGAACGTGGTTACAAGCTGTCGATTAGCAGTCCACTTTACATCTTCATCCAGCTGCACAAACCACTGGTCCTCTTTGCTTCTGAGCAGAGGCGGTAAAAACATGTTGCTTGGACGTATATTTCTGCTGACACAAGAACACCGTATAAAAATATGTCACGAAGACCAACAATATTCAGTTACAGGTGTGTGAATGAAACGGTAAACATCAGAAAGCAAATCAACAGGCTTCGCCACACTGTGGGCATCAGACACGGACCCCCCCGGTCGGCTTTGTGTTCAAACAGTGAGGAGCAATCAATCCGCCGGCAGGCCGCCGTGCTTCTCTTCGTTGACCTGACTTGTTGCTTTGGTTACACCTAAAGTGGCACTTCTCTGCTTTTCAGCCGGGAACCTCGCGCTGGTTTTCTCCACAACACGGTGGAATCAGAGAGACGGCCCTGAGAGCTTAGTCAGCGAATTTCAAATGGATTTCATGTTTTGAATTAGTTTCAACTGGCTCGGCCTGGAATGGAAATGATTGGCAGGACATGCATTGAAAAAGTGTCTTTCTAAAGTAAACTTGGTGATGACGCTCGCTGTGTTCTTTACTAGATATTACAAATACGTTATTAGTGACGCTCACGTAGTTGTTGTTTTTTACACAATTTTAGAACATTTTGTGAATTCATTAAGACAAGATGACTAATGAGGACGAGGCCATGCCACAAAGATACGGAACAATCTGCAGCCGGCCTGACAGCGAATACAAAGTGATGGTAAAAAAGGAATACAAATGAATATTCAGAAATGCATTGTTCTTTACTCCAAGCGCTATTGGGGAAACAGTTCCTCTCCTGACGATTTACAATGGATGAAATACATGTAAAGTTGGTGTTGTAATGTTGTTATATGGGTCACAGCCATTACAGGGTTCTTTTGAGCTAAATTCCTGCTTCTGAATGGGGAGAAATTAGCGTGTCTTGTTGCATCTGGTTGCTTTGAGTGAATATAACAAAGCGTAGCAATTCTGCCCCCACTTCCTGAATACCAAACTGTGTAGGAGAGATTAAGAAAGTGGCTCCATTGCATGCTCACTTGACTCGAAGAATATCTTCGAGAAAACAACATTGTATTTTTATCTATACGACAGCAAGTGAACAAACATATGTTCATTCGCCTGCTGTCATACGTTTCGTTCTTTTAGCGTGGATGTCTCGGTGTGGCATCAGCGGCCCACAGACAATAACAAGAACATAATGGAAGCTGGACGGCATGTGGCATCTGCTACATGTCCAATGGTGTATCTGCATTAGCTTCTGTCAATAACCAAAGTGAAAATAGAGCTGTGACATGTAGCGTCATGGTGTTAAACTGGCCGGAGTGTCCCTGGTTGGAGTGTGGCAGCTCACACCTGTAACTCAGCTGTGATCCCAACACACACGGAGGGGAGTTCAAATGCAGACGACACACCAAACATATGAGCTCACATAAATACAAATAAATCACATACTAAAAAGAGAAGAAGACAACACTAGGATGTGGGATATTTAACGCCCAATCCCCAAATGTACTTGATGCTGGTTGAAGCCACTGTGAGAAAAGGGAAGAAGACGAACCTCAAGGATCTGCTTCCTGCAGTGCTGCATGTGACTCATATTTAGCAGGGGTTTTATTTTCACCAGCCAGGGATTATGCTGCATTTAATCTGATTAGCAGACGACACATTTCACAATCTCCATGAGTAATCTGCCTTCACAGTCCTGCGTACAGTCACATTTCATCTGTCTGGGGACTCCAGCTCTCTGGAAACGTGTCACATGTCACTGTCACGCCGTCCGCGGCGAACGCACTTCCAAGCCCGCCTCACATTTTTGACGTAATGTGACTCAGTTACCTTCCAGTGAAGAGAAGCTTCGGTGACAAGCAGCCGGCAGCATGACAGCTGCATGAAACTGGGGGTTGTGATTTCAGGCGGGGACGCTCTTACCTGATTGGACTTCCTAATCACATGTGAAAAAAGGTCACGGAGGAGTCCGGGTGTCTGAGCGCGCGTTTTCCCAGGAGACGTGTGAGTGACGTGCCTCCTCAATCTCTCTTTAAGCTCCTTAAAGTTCACAGTACACAAAGCTGCTGCTGTATTTGGACAGTGTGTGTGTGTGTGGGGGGGGGGGGGTCCTAAAGTATAGAAACCACGTTCAGACGCTCCCGGTTTGGTTGGTGTTCGATGGTGCACAGCCCCCGCCCCCCCCCCCCGTCCCCTCTTGCCGGGTCGCAGCCCGCAGTCACACGTCGCGCCCTCAGGCTCCCCGCCGCATAAACACAAATCCCTGGGTGCCCACGGGGATTTCGTCCCAGAAGAAATGGGCTGTCACCTGCTGCGCGAGGGGGGAAAATAACAACTGTGGAACAACATGACAGCCGGTCCGCAGCACCGAGCCGCTGCTCAGCGGAGCCTCCGCGGCTTTGTCACTGCTGCTGCAAAGTGGGACTCACAGCGAACGTCTCGCTGCTGTGGAACGATGAAGTGAGGTCATGATGTCACTCTCCCCCCCTGTGTGTATGTCCAAAAGTCATGTGCTGCACACTGCAGATGTATGAATCTTTGCCAAAGGTGACGAGGTGTGTCAAAGTGTGTTTATTGACGCTCTTTGTCAAAGAGTTTTCCCTCGACCTGCAGCAGCAGAGTAGCTGTGTCTCGTGAGGGCGGGACCGTCGAGGACTCATGTTGTCCCATAAGTCCCAGCGCGCTCATTCTTACATGTTGAAAGAATGATGCAAGCCACTTTGAAACGCTCAGGCACGTCTCTGTTGGGTTCTTTGTGATCTATTTCCAAGTAATTTACAGTTTCCATCACCCGATGGTCAAAGGAACAGACGCCGTCACAGGTTGTCAGTGCCTCTTTTAATGAAACATTTCTGTAATTGTCTGAGCTGTAAACTACATTTTAGATTAGATTATCAGGATTACATTTAAATCTTATATGTTAATTCATTTTTTTTTAATTCTTGTTTGCTCCTGTCTCCTGGACGCATAGATATGGGGTTTTCTTTCAGAACCTTTAAGGAAACACTGTGTGTTACTGTAGCAAAAGGAAGACGGTACTGAGCAATATGATCAGCAATCCTACCTGCTGTTATTCAACAGTGGAGAGAATATAGAAAACCGCCTGAGTGCAGATCAGGACACACCCTGCAGCGCTGATCCGGCACAAAGGCAGAGCGACTGCTGCCTCCACGTGCACACACACACACACACACACACACGCACACACACATGCACACTGTCCATCTCACAGAGCAATGTCAGCGCCCGCCACAAATATATGCTGTTTCTATCTGCAGACTCAAAGGACGGGGGGGGGCTGGATGATCTCAACCTGGTCGCAACGCAAGTCGTGTTTTCTGAACCTCGAAACGACTCCGAAACGTGTGTGTTCTCCCAAACGCGCGAGGTCCAGTTCAACCTCCCGTCTGCCGCTGTAGATCACAGGCAGCGAGGGAGGGGGGGGGGGATGCCGAGCGCCTGTCAGTTCCCGTCTCTTTCAAAGCCGGCCGCGTTTAATGGGCTGCCAGTGTGACCCAGCCGCGCTCCACGATTACCGTGTTTAGGCGCGGACCTATTTGGTAATGGCCAAAGACCTTCAAGGGGCTCTCAAGACTGAGATCACTTGTGTGCATCTCCTCCGCTGAGAGCACATCTTTTTATGTGATGTGTCTGTGTTTGCTGCTCCCACCCGAGGCGTCGACAATAGAGAGCATGTGCACGCTGTCCGGTCCTATAGAGGAAACGGTAGGACAGAGGATTCATGGAGCCTGGAGCAGATATGGGAGCGCTGCACTCAGCAACACTATGCGGGAGACTGCAGTTTATCTGAGGGGGGGATAGTGGTCGGCTGGGGGGGGTCGTCTGTTTGTTTGTTTTCTGGGCAGAGAGGAAGCTTTTTCACAGAAACTCTTCCGAATTGTCAAAAGTGTGGATCCTAATTCGACCAAATTGTGAGTTTGTGGACTTTTGTGGCTTTTCCGCACATGTTGTTTGGCTGCGTGACCTAAAGGATCTTTAGGGGCAGAAGTAGTTCATACTGTATCGTCTTGTTTCACCCTGTTTTACACAATGTGCTCCTCTCTGATTGTATAATTAATATGAAATATTAGGCAGCCGGTGCTCATAGTAGTACAGTGAACAAACGTTTTGACAGATGGCTGATTTGTTTGTTGGGCAGAAATAAAAAGGAAACACGTTGTTCTCCATGAGTATAGTGTGTAAAATCAAACAAATGCACGCTTTAAGCAGTCCATCCGACCCACGGGGCGTTCCAGTGGCCGGCCTTGTTTGCATTACAGGACATGGCTGACTGACGTCACCGACTGTAACAAACTCGCCAGGGCTGTTGACGCTGTCACAAGCAATTGCTCTGCTTTACAGTCGTTTCGTCTGGTTGTCACGCGCTGCTTTACCTTCAATGAGCTGCTGGAGGGAGATGTTGTTGGCTTCCATGATGCCACATTTACAAAGCTGGAGAAACATCCGCGACAAATCAAGAGATGTTCTCGATTTGGACTGAGTATCGCTGAGTAGCAGCGTTCATCCTGGATGGATTCTTTACTGGGATGGCACCAGGTCTCTGTGAGCACCTGTAAACACGCATGTCTTCTGTGGTTCTGCTGTAGTTTCATAAAGTTGAATAATAAAGTCAACGGTGACTTTAGGTTGCGGACGGGACACGTACAGCGTCTCCTCGGGGTCCACCCAGACCTCCTCCCTACGCATGCTTTGTATTCCTAGCAAGCCCCTGCTAACACATTTTTATGAGGCTAATGGCGGCCACTAAATTAGCTCGGGCCATTATGCGTTCCTGTAGCTGCTGACACTGCAGAGTAGCATGTTGGCTGACAGCGTACTCACATAACTGCATGTGTGTCCATCCACAGGTGGCCCAAAGCTGATAGTCTTCCTCTTTCCAGGCCGTCATAAAAGATAATAGACTCATTTTGGGAATACTGCCCACCACCTTTGTACCAGTGCTCCATTTTTAAACGACAGTCTGGGTGTGATCTTAACCTCGAAAGGAGACGGCGTGTTTGACTTGCACGATTTGTTGGAGACTTTGAATATTCAGCGAGGCGTGTCCTTTGAAGCTGCTCCTCGCCCTCCTTTTGTCAGCGAAGCAGCTTCATTCATTGTGACTTATGCAAAATGATGTCTAACCGGGAAGTGAATCCACAAAGACCCCTTGAGGGACTTCTGCAAACCTCGCTGCACGTTTGGGAAAAGATTTTTTTTTGGACCGTGCGAAATCCAGATCATCGTATACTGTCAGATTAAAAAAGACCTTTGAAACCAAGCTATAGTTTAAATGAACCCAAACCATTAATTTGTGCTGCCGTCATCGCAATACAAATCTGTCTGTTGCCATGACAGTGGTCGTAATACGCTCCTGGCAGCTGGATTCCCTCCCCATTTTGTCTTTGAGATGTCCCTTTTTCATGTCCGGGAGCATTGTGTAACCCATGAAATCAATGCGCTGGATGATTTTGTGAACACGGCCCGGCCAGCTGCGGGAGACATCTCATTATGTTGGCACGTCTGCGGCGTTCTGCGCCTCATGTCGTGTCATGTGGGTCTTAAACATGGAAAGGAGAGCAGGTGCAGCCGCGGACCAAAAGCACCAGAGAGGAAACGCAAAGCAAACGCAAACGACAACATGCCTCATCCTGCCTTGAAGTGTCCCTTGTCCCCGTGGACAAAACCTAGAGCGCCAAGCGGTTGCGATCTGGCGGCTTCCCCATAGCGTACGGCGTCATCTCCTCTCGACCAGCAGGGGATCATGCTGTGATGAATGGCCAGCGAGCAATAAAGGGAGGCAAGACGAGTTCCTCCAAGACTCTTTTGTCTAATTGCTGGACCTCCAGCAAATGGTTCGGTTGTAGCTCAGCAGAGAAATAGCACTCGAACGTCAGTTGGACTCTCAGAACAGCAGATAACGTCCCACAGTTCAGGTTTGATTCATTTCTTTGAATAATGAAAGAAACATCCAGGAGTAGATCTCTTAACCGTTAACACATATACTGTGTATCGTATCCAGGGGCCCACATAATGGAAAATGTGACCTGGCAAACATACAGTGTTTGCATTTGTGGGGTGATGCTCGTGGGACAAAATGAGGTTGCGTCTTGTTTGCTCAGATACTCGCCGATTATTTCTGCATCAAATTTCTTTCATCTCTGCTTGCGAGATCATTTAAGAGATGGTGTCAGCGGTACAGGTATGGCGGTACAGGTATGGCAGTGAGTTTGACGTTGGTGTCAAAGCAGCTATTTCTGAAATGCATATTTGTTATGTTGTGCTCCTGCAAACCGGCATTGTTTACTTGTTTTGCACTTGCATTTGTCTCAATTTAAACCCTGGTTCATTCCGAATTGGATTATTGACCAGGTTAATGGAGTCCCATTAGGTAATTTAATCCACTGTAGCAGTCAATCATTAATTGTTGTTACATAGTAATTACAAAACCACTCGTCACTCGTTTATCAAATCCTCAATGATTGGCTTTTGATTTCTTCAATTTCTTCACTTTCTTAAATGCATCTCATTATTGAATCTTAATGAGCCAGATAACTGCATGAACTAAGTCGTCCGAAGGGACAAAGACTTTTGTTTCTATCAAGACGTCAAAATGTGTGTTTGGTTCCTTGAATTACTCCCAACACAAAGACAGGACATCAGAGGAAAGGTTGACATTCAAAGTGCAGCGACGTCTTATTGATTTCAGCAGTCTGGCAGGTTCTTGCTAACTCGATGCCTCACTTCCTGTTAGCGCTAACTTGCTCCTTCGCTTCCTCTATTTTAGACAGCTGAGATGTTATTCTGTAAAACGTCCCATAGAAATAGAGCCTTTAGCATCACATTAGCATGTCTGTACATCTCTTGTCAAATTCGGAAAGTTTGAAACAAGTGAGTGATGGAAGTATAAAGCTTTAGCCTGCTAGTCACCACAATAAAATGCTATGAGTTTACCTGTTAGCTGGCTAGCCTGTGGTGTGGCTGTGGTAGATAATGACAAGACGTTAGAGATTATCAAGTTTTCAGGAATGCCAGCTACCATCCTTTTTTTCGAAACCGCTTACAGGTCAAATGTATTATTATAACTTAATTTCTCATGCGGATTATTGGCTTTAGAACATTTACCACATCAATATAGAGTAATGAAACCGGGTTCCCTCCGGGGCCCCCGGCTTCCTCCCTCCCTCCAAAGACATGCAGGTGACTCTACAGTTGCCCGTAGGTCTGTGTGAAGGGTTGTCTGTCTCTATGTCAGCCCTGCCATTGACTGGCGACCAATCCGGGATGTACACCTCTCTCGCCCGATGTTCGCTGTCACTTTCTGCAAGTTATCTGATCAGAAGACCGTCTAAGGATGAGCGGAATAGAAGATGAACCACTCACGCTTTCCCTTCTTCAAATTCACTTCTTATTGAGAGAACATACCTTTCTCTTTCCATCACCGTTTCAACATGCACGCAGGCCTTGAAAAGGCTGTTTTTGTTTCCATGTACGGAAAGAGCTAAGAGGTTTGTGTAGAAACGATTCTGTCTTTCATCCATTTAAGCAGTTTTCACTCTATCTCTGTCAATTCTGGTTGTATCTGCAATCAGTCATGACTACTGAGACCCGAGTGCCTCCCAATTCCCTCGTTGGGCATGCAAACCTCATTGGCATGAAAAATGGTCATTTGAAAAGACTCCAGATAATTTAGGATAATTCAATTTGTTCGCAACCTCGCACTGATCCTATCATCAATTTTCACCTTCACTTGATTTAACTTTGTCGAAATTTCCGCATCTACCCTCGGGAGGTCTAAAAATGATCACAAGCCACAAGACAAGTGTCTCAGGCCGCCCTCCCAACCTCGCCGCCTCATTCATATGTGACTCTCTCCTTTTCCCTCCTCGCCCACAGATCTCGTGTTCTCCTGGATCTTTAACGAGTACCCGACGTTTGTGAAGCAGGACACTCGCCGATTCATCTCGCAGGAGACCGGGAACCTGTACATCGCCATGGTGGAGCCCTCAGATGTCGGCAACTACACCTGTGTGGTGACTAATACTGTCACAAAGAGCCGAGTCCAGGGTCCGCCCGCGCCGCTGGTGCTCCGCAGTGACGGTGAGCTTCTTCTTTTGTTCATGTTACTCGCACCAAACCACCTACATACCAGGCCTGGTAACCACGGCGCTTAAGACCGATGGAGGTTTGCACTGCTTAACCGGGCTGCATAATGGAGAGTCTACTAATGTCAGTATATTGTTACTGGGATATTAATCTAATGCAAATGTTGCCTTCGAAATCTATTTGGACTAAAGCAATCCATGGATTTTCAGATGACAGTTTTGAATATTTAGATTTGAATATGTGCACATCATATTATGCTTTAGACAATTTAATTCAACCATATTTGGTTACAGGAAGATGTGACATACACACTAAAAAAATGCAAAAATGTACTGCAAATGTCACCCTCCACAAAGGTCACCAGTCCCCATCTTGTACGAGTGTTAAATAGCCGCTCACTAACACGTACATGTACCTCCTTCCACTTGCATCCTGTCATTGGATGTTGTTTTTCTTCTATATTTCGAGTATCAATTTAACCAGCAGTGAAAGAGGAAATGATCCAATGGTTGATTTAATAGTGCCATTCTGGGGATTTGGTCGCCTCCTCGGTTGTGATAAACAAACGAGCCAAACTGGCTTTGTTGTACCTGGAAGAAGAACAAATGGTTGTGAGAAATACAAATGAGACTCCACGGTTCATTATCTCGTCCTCTATTCATTGTAGCACGTCCTTTATTAACATGTGGATCTGATGCTTTAGGGTGGCCTTATCAAGGCCCACCGGAGGAAAGGTCACTTTCTGCAAGTAATATGATGCAGCCGTCTGTGCTGGAAGGGCGTTCCTTACCTTTATATAATGATACACATATAATATTATACAATGAAGTGTAATTTTCACTTAAAATGTTAAGTTGATCTGATTTAATGCTAAAAAGACTTGATGCTGGTAATACTTTGCTTTAACGCGCCCATTTAGCAAGTATAAGCAGTTTATAAGACATGATAGTATCTCTAATGTTAACAAACCCTCCCCGTGTTACCGAGCATCTATTGTTCTAATGAGTTATTAATGGTTCAGAGGAGGTCTGATGTGGATTCACAAATTGATACATAAAGTGCAAATAAATATTGGCACTAATGATTTGTTAGTTGACCTTGTGTTGGATATAGATGTATGTTTAATAGATGTGTACGATATTGTGTCACTCTGTTCACCCCCTCGTGGGTTTAATGTTGCATGTCGTTTCATTGCGTACAGACCGTGCTGTATTACGCCGTATTCTAAAGTATGTCACACACATAGTGCTTGTTATAACCCATTAGTCTCCAGTTGACCTTTAAATGCTCTTGTGAAGGTTTGCTGTAGTAATATAGCACTCAGATCGCAATATTGATTAAAACAAGCCACCAAACAAGTCACAGCCGGAGAGAGAATACTAATCGGGCGTCGTGCAGTGAGCAGCAAATCTCTCATTTATTTTGTTCATATTCATTAACTGCTCTGAGCTTGTTAGTAAGGACAGAACCAATGACTTGTTTGAGGTCAGGGACTATTTTATATATTACTCCTATCAAGATCAGAAAAAGTAACTTGTTTTCAAAGTCCACAACTTGTTCATCCTGCGAAAGGAAACAGGAGTTTTACATTTGGGGAAGATATAAACACACATCTATAGTTTAGAATGAAATCATATCAATTGTATTTTTGAGAATAACTATTCATTCATCAAGTAATTCCATTGGTCCACGAAACCAAACCAAGGAAGGTATTTAGTCTGTTCAGCTCCTGGATGGTTTACTTGCATTTACTCCACTACAACGAGTTTATAATTTCCTGTGTTTCGATTTTCCCAAATCTAGTATTAAGAGAAAAGGCCAATCGGGTTGCCACGATTCTTTGAGCATTGATAACCCATTACATATTATATGAATTGAAATTAAGAATAAACATGGAGTCGTGTTTCAGAAATATATTAATCCATTATCCTTTGGACGAGAGACAGAATTGTGAATTTCTCGCCTGATTTGAAACATGTTTTTACACATTTCCAGACCATTTCCCCACCTGCTTCCCTCCTCTCCTTCTTCATTACGCCTCGATTTTGCCGCGAGAGCAGCAACGCGTCCGCTCCACCGCGGTCACGGGGGGGAGGGCGGCGGTGGGGAAGGTTGTCTCATTAAACAGGTGTCCCTTTCAAAAGGTTATGGTATGAGACAATTACCTGTCCACTTCCACCCGTCCGCCTAAAATGGGTGATGGTGCTGTGGTTACATTCCAGTGCGAGACGCTTGTGATAAGGATCTGAATTAGCTTTCACAGTCACTCGGGCAGCCATCCTAACAACACATGCCTTGCCAAATCAACTAGATGAAATTGGCCTGTTTCCTCCGTCTCTAGAGCTATTTGTGCAGCACGGCCCTGAATTACAGCCATGGTCGAGGGAGGGGGGGCAATTGTTACACTGGTGGACAAAAGGGCTTGAAAATCCGATGGTGTGCGCCTGTGATTTGGCAAGTGAAATGACACCCATTACAAATACGTTGATATAATTTATCATAATGTGATTTGAGGGGGGAGACAAAAATACGCTCGAGCTGTCAGACACTCGGGTTTTTGATTTATGAATAAGTTTCTCCCAGAGCTGCAACAGCAGAGAGCACACGTTCCCTTCCTCGGCTTTATTCAGAGAGATGCAGAGGAGCGGTATTATAACCCAGCAGAGCTGCTTTGTAGACACAGAGGCGTCACTCGGGGGGGTTTGTGGGCCCGTTTTCTGGTTCATAGCTGTTAGCACCACGTAACAAGATGAAACTCATTCGGATGTGAAAGCCCAAACGGCCTGTGAATTCTCTAAGACGTCTCTTTTTCATTCAACGTTAGCGGTTAGCGCATCCAATGGCGAGTTGTGTTTCGGCTTCGTTTTCTCATTATTTTCATTGGGGAGCGTCATGTGACTCCGGCGACATTTTTTGCAAGTTGAAAAACGTTTCACTTCTGGGGTAAAAAAAACAAACAAACAACAACAACAAAAAAACGTTTGTACTTGAAAAAAAGTTTGCAGATGCCGTGTGACAGCAGCCGAAGCCTCAGCCGCTGCGTTTATTCTCAGTTTCCTGTTGCTTGGCTCATTTGCGTTTGTCTTTCAGGTGTGATGGGTGAATACGAGCCAAAGATTGAAGTTCAGGTTCCGGAGGTCGTTCACGTTGCCAAAGGGTCCACGGTGAAGCTGGAATGCTTCGCTCTGGGAAAGTAGGTCCACTCTGCAGTGCCAGACCCGCACGCTCAATCGCACACGAGAGGAAAGGGATTGAGACCGATACGTTTCTCTACGCTGAATCTATCAAGCTGCTTGCAATAGTAACAACGACGACATCATTTTAAAAAGTGAAATGTGGTCAGAAGAAATAAATGTTTATTGTCCTCCTCAGCCTGCTTTTGTATTAAATATTAGGGTTTTTTATGAAATACGAGGGTTATCTGTCTTTCATGTGGAAAATGATGGGGGCATTTGGGATGTAAACTTAATGAAAATATATTTAAGACTCAAAACTGTTTTAAGTGGTTGTCTGATAGTAGTTGATATCCTGACTACGTCCCCTTCTTACGTACGGCCGATGCTTGAAACCATCATCCATGGCTTTGTCAGCTTCAATAAATACCTTGAGTTCAGTATTTTATCTGCCGCCATCTTTTAAAGATATTCAAGGACTTGAATTCATCATGAATTAGTTCACCAGCACATCCGTCATAAAACAGGGTAAAAGCTGTGACTTGTAATTTCTCACAGCCCGGTGCCGTCTATAAACTGGAGAAGAGTGGACGGCGTTCCCTTCCCCAGGAAAGTGGACATGAGGAAAGCCAGCGGAGTCCTGGAGATCCCCTACTTCCAGCAGGAGGACGCCGGCACATACGAGTGTGTGGCGGAGAACTCCAGGGGATCCAACGCGGCCAAAGGGAAGCTCTCTTTCTACGGTGGGTGAACCTGACAGACATGAATATTTGACCAGCTCGCACCACATCTGTCCGACCTGCTGGGACTGAGAAGCGGCAGAGAGCGGACACAACCGGTCTGGTAACAGCAGTCGGCGGCGATCAGGCAGAGGCCCGGCTGGTTTTAACGGCACATCAAAATGATTAAAGGCTGTCGGCCATGATGCCTCTAATATTTTGATCCGGATTAAAGGAGTGATGGGGATGATGCTGAGCCCTTGGACACGACCTTGTTGGTGAGCCCGCTATTGGGTGCCACCAGATGGCATCTGGTTGACGTCCAACTTGACTGGAGATTAAAGCCGGTAAATGTACTATACATAGGCCTGTGGCACATATGTCAGGGACAGAATCCGCACAGCAGCATCTGGATCCAAAGGAAAGGGGTTAGGGTTAGGCCCATGCCCCCCCCATTAGTTACACCTATTCAGTTCAGATATGAAGTCGCCCCATTTAGATAGGAAATATTTACAAACCATATACTGAACATCTCAATTTAGATCTAAGTATGTATGTATATGTATGTATGTATATATGTATATTTGTAGATTCATGGTCGCACAACAGTGGTAAACATGTTCAGTCTGTGAATTTTCCTCCCACCACGACCTCCCTTTGCCCGCCTCCCTCCGGTTCGTCGTGCTGGGTCAGCCGTCAGACATACCTCATTCGGGGCATTAAACAATTTGCTGTGATTTACAGCAGCCCTGGACCCCCGTCGCCCCGCTCGCCCCCCACAGCCTGCAGAGGCTCGATTTGTCCCTCAGAGCTGTGGCTCCTGTCTCGTTTTTGACGTGTTTGGTCAGTGTCTCTCTCTCTCTCTCTCTCTCTCTCTCTCTCCTGCTGTCAGCTGCCAGGTGACATAAATCAGTGATCTTATTTTGAATTAAGCCTTTGAGACATTGGCCAGCAGTGTAAGCCAGTGGGGGAATCCGTACGGTTTCTCTTGTGTTGGAGAGGAGATGAAGGCGTTACTCCACTTTAACATGTGGACGTGATTCCCACCGGTAGCAAAGGGCTTTAAGTGTCTTTTGGATACGAAGGAGCTACTTTTCTTATTCATAACTTCAATCTCGTCTGACTAAAACAGGATTTCAAGAGCGTCTCTCGTGGTGGAATTTGATTTATTGAACCTTCATACAGCAGAACTTCACTTCGGTTCAGCTTCCCCATGGCCACTGTCTTTTTTTTTTTTCTGCGGTTTTCAACTAACACCCAAACCAAGGACAAGGGCTCTCGTGAAAGAAACACTCAGGGAGAAGAAAAATAAAAAATCTTCTTTTGCTCCGTCGTTGCTGTGCATTTGAAGCTGTGACGGGTCGGCGCCCTGAATTCTCCTCTGCGTTTCTGCAAACTTCACCGCTGCATTATCTCACAGCGATGCCACTGATTTAAGCAAATACCCCCCCCGTCCCCCCCCTTCGTCCTCAGCCACTTGACGTTTGCTGTGATTGCCTGCGGCTCGGTGGCAGAGACGGGCTGCCGGCTCTCGTTTGGTAACCGCTGACTGAGAGTCGCTGCGTTGGCAGCGGGCCGAGGGACGGAGTGAGGCGCCCTGCCTGCGAGGGGGGAGAGGAAGAAAGAATACAAATACAATGCAGGCCTGGAAGGTGCATCGGGCGGGGCGGCTCGGCCGGACGGGGTGGAGGGTCGCTGCAGCGGGGGACAGACGTGATGCCGAGTGATGAGGATACTTCCAGCCATCAAAGACTCGTAAAACTGAAATAGATTTCTAAAAGGAAATGCATCATCATTTTGTAACATGACAGCTAGAAAAATCAACTGCAATACTATTTCTAATATATATATATATATATATAAAAACATGCAACATTATCCAAGACTTGCAGACTGATTTGGATCAATGGATAATCTATTAATCAATTAACATGTAATGTGTAATAGCTGGTAACAAATTAAGATAAATGGTTCCTGCCTGAGGCCCAAAGTCTTTCCTCTGTAGGATTATAAAACAACAGAAGCATCAACCGTCGCCCTTTTCCCCCCGTTTGGTGTTAACACAGCCGGGCCGCCACGAGGCCCGTAGTAAGTCACATGATGCGCGGCGAAAAAAATGAGCCTCTGACACCCGATGGACTTTGATGATGAATCCGTGCCGACCTCTGGCCGCACAAATCCCCCCCCCCCTCTGTTCTCCCCGTCCCCTTTCTCTTAAGCCGCCGTCGCTCCGTGTTTCTCAACACCCGCGTGCACGCGGAGACGCCGTCGGGATGCGTGTGCAGTGATGGAATTTCTCGCCGCGTTGTCCTGCGTAGCCGGAGCCAATTAGAGCAGGCGGTTGTCCCGCCACTGGAAAGCCACCGCGAAAAAGGTCAGTCGGGAACGTGCGGAATGGAAGAAGCGCGGCCGGCCATTACTCTTGTCCCGCCACTGGCCTTGTGTGACATACAGCGGTTGTAGGTCGACCTACGCATCACGTCGGGCGCACGGAGCGCTGAGGCCGCTTTACTGATCAAGTTTTATGGAGCGCTTTGTTTTTAGGGGGGGGGGCTCATTCATTAAATAACCTTGAGTTACTTGCGTGACACAGCAAGAATCAATTGTCCTTCTGTATAATTAGACATCAGTTAGTCAGATGGGATCTAATGGGGCGTTTTTATGGCACCAGAAGCCGACCTTGTGTTTAACTGGCTGGTTTTCCAGGTTTCTGTTAACTTTGTGTCTTTAATGAGGGGATTAAAAGAACCACATCCAACCATATAAACGTTGGCGTGGGCTTACTTGAAAGGCTTTGTGTGGACACATGCCTGACAACGCATCCTCCTGGTGGGGACCGGTAATCCTTCTTGAGACAAAATGGGGGACAAAGGTATAATCGGGTTAAGATTAGCGGTTACGGGTGACGTCCATTGCTGTAGCTCAGGGCTGTGCTGCACAAACTGCTCCACAGAGGGACGAATGGGATGTTTCATTCAAAAAATGCAAATATACAATGTTTGTACCTTCTTGTTCCGTTGTGCCACTTTGTAATTTATATTTGTGCGAACATTGTTATGCTCACCTGACATGAAATACACAACACAAGCGACAGATGATTCAGCAGTGCCACTTCACAATGGGAGCATGTGTTACTTCAAATGCCCGTTGCCTCGACTCCTCCCTCCTTGCAACCGGCGGCGGGAGATATGAACGGAGGAAAGGAATTGAGGATGCACAAAAATCCGACATGACGGGTTAATATGCAGATTCATTGAACTTTGAGGCGCATTGTTACATCTCGCTCGACACGCTGGCTTCACTGTGGTGTCTTCCCCGTTTCCTCCAGCTCCTCCACATCTCATCGAGAAGCCCCAGGAGGCCCAGAAGCTCATTGACGACTCGTTGGTGTGGGAGTGCAAAGCCACGGGGAAGCCGAAGCCTTCTTACCGATGGATGAAGAATGGAGAGAACCTGGAGGCCGCCGAGGTGAGATCTGCTGCCGTCTTTAGAAACCGAGGACAAAGTCCCTCCCGGCTCGCGCGCTGCACTCTTAAGCGCTTCTAATGGGGAGTGCGAGCGGCCGCGCACTCTACCTCCAACGCTCTGTTGCGCTGTTTTTTTCGCGCTTCGCCCACTAATTAGCATGCATTGTGTTCCTCCTCGCCACAACACGCCGCCTCCCGTGCAGCAGTGCGCTGGGCAATTTACTCCCAGGACGCCGTTCGGCTGAAAGGGATCGGACTGCGGCTGCTGTGCCGAAAGTGTTTTACGCTCCCGTAGAAAGCACAGTGATGTAAGAGCTGCTCTAATCTTGTGTTAAATCTCTCTTTGCCAAGTGCTGCTATTAATCCATCGCCACCAAACGTGGAAAATATAAAGACTGTATATCCTCCTTCCATTCCTCGATGCCATTGCTGAATTCCCATTATGTATTTAATGATGAGAGATGGGCTCATTTCTGGCTCCGGTCAGCTTTTCTATGCAGCAAGCTTTTGCAAAAATAACATTTCTTTAAAACCAGTTTAATATTGCTTCATCATATTGTATTATGATCATTAGAATCGGATCATTTAGCCAGGTTGTTGGGGAATGATTGATTAGACACTGAAGCGCAGCTTGCACCTGATAACTAAACAGGCATAATGTGAATACGCTTCATTAGACAAGAAGGAAGAAAGCCGGCAAACACACCAGAGGATATCGATCAGTCGAATGTAATATGCGGCGTTGGAGGGAACCCAGTCGGTCGGTGCTGTTGCCAGAAGCACCAGGCTCACACAAAAAAAAAAAAACAGCCCGGTCGCCCTCAGGGAAGAATAATCAACAATCTGCTCAGCGAATGGCTTCCACGTGACCCAAACCTTTTATCAGGTATCACGCTGGCGTTCGCTGGACACCAGGGCTGTAATTCCGCTCACGTTTCTTCTCTCCAATCAAGTAGATATCAGGTTCATTTGTAGCGCGTGCTGCAGCATCCTGCTTCATTCTGTGAATGTGAACTCATCACTTCCTCCTTTTATTCTCAACTGAACGAAAGTGAAACCGCAGTTAAAAACATCTGAAGAAATAGGAAGAAACTACCGACACACCTCCCCCACGTGTGATTAAAGGTTACTACGACTAGATTTCTATTTCCTCCCTTTACATAAATATAATATATGGATCTTTTCAGGAGGCATGTGTGAATGGATCAATCAGCCGAGGTGTTAAATGTTTGAAATGGCACCATTAACCACAGCGGCTTAATGAGAGGAAGAGGGAAAGGTCAATGATGTGAAGGAGCCGTGCAGACAGGACGCACCATGTGTTGCTATTTATTACGCCGGATCAATTGAGACCTTTCTGATTGTCTACTTATTTCTGCTGACAGTTTTAGAAGTTTGAGCAACAGAAATGAAGAAATCTGAGTTTATTGTGTCGTAACTAATTCCCAGATGTGTTTATTTCAATTGTTGATCTAGTTCAACAATCATACCAATGGTTTCATTTATCTGTCTATACATCACATGTTACAAAGGGTTTCACCTGAGGAATAAATCTACCTTTGTTTTAAACACACTGTTATTGGTCGGTAGTCAGTATGTGGAAGCTCACGTGTCCAAAGGAATGAATGGAGGGCGAAACGTTGAGAGTTATGGGCCGGATCTATTGCTGGGGGAATTACTATGAAGTACAGGAGATTTCTAGGGAGTCATGGTATATATATATATATATATATATATATATATAAATAGCTGAGTACGTGTGCGTTCAATTATTCAATGTCAGTCATGTAAAATATTGAAGCGCCGCGACTATTTCTAGTGTTCCCCTCTAATAATAGTAGCTGTCGGGCTCCGTGTTGGACCGCGGCTGCCATGCTGCCGGGCTCTGGCCTTATGGACCAGGAGACTCTTTCATGCTTTGTATCGTGTGTGACAATCGCCACGGTTCACTGCAATGCCTCTTCTTCTTGTGGCTGTTGTCATGCGAAGGACGTCGCTCTCCGCTGCGCTGGTGAGCTGCAGGATTAGGTGGCCGTGCAATTGAAGGGGAAACTCCACCGTGAAAGGGGATTAATCCATTGGAATCAGTGAGGGACCACCAGGCGTGGTAATTCCTGTTGTACTACAGATTCAGATCATCGTACGAAAACAAATTAGTTACATGTAATTATAGAGGAAGATAAGAGTATTGATCCCGAGGTGAAATTCCAAAGTGCCTTTGCAGTATTTACAGGGTATTAAAAAAGACTAAACAGCTGCAGACTGATGTTACTGTGCGTATTAATACATCATACTCATCATTTGCTCTATTTTAAAGTAGGCTCCAAACTTATTTCCTCATTATTTTGTGACTAATAATAAATAATAACAGGATATGGCTTCGCCGTGCTGGTACTCCAGTCTGTCTCTCCAAACTGACACCGACTGGGGATGAAACTCTGAATATGGTGAAGAGCCTCACACAACCCCTCTTCAAAACTCCTGAACTGTCCCTTTTAAGTAGAAGATCTGAGCTCTTGTAACCACCACTGTGGCTGGATGTAGATCTAATGCACTCCTCCGCTTCCCCCTGTTAATTCAAGCTCAAGTGGAGCAAACAGGCTGAGCTCAGAGCTTTTCTTCTTTCTATTGCAAAGCCACTGTTGAGCTTAGTTCATGTCGACTGGAAGTTCTTTCTTGCACAAGCCTGTCGAGATTCATCAAATATCTGTGTGTACAATTTGCAATTTATTTTTTTCACGGTAAGCACGAGTAATCCTTTTGTTGATCAAATTCAATTTCACGTTGCTTATTTTCTCCTTTTTGTTGATTTTTATTAGACAGGAAAAATCACTTCCCACATCCACAACAGCTTTTAAAGCTGTAAAATAATCATCGTTCTCACAGAAGGCCTCCCGTTATTATTCATTCTGAGGGAGATAACTGTCGACAGCAACCAAACCAAAGAAGATGCTTCCTAAACCATATAATTCACTGTTTTGTTCTTCCCTCCCCCTCACTTGTTTTTCCCGCTTTATGTCAAACGAATCCACCCAGCGTTGTCGGCAAATGACATTGCCAATCCTTCTCCTTCAGCATAAGGCGTACAGATGGTCCCTGCAGGTCCCCCAGTGAAAAACTGCTGATTTGAGAGGAACGTCATGCTTAATTAATAGCAGCCATAAACGGGAGTGCTTTCCGTGCACGGACTGATATACCGTTGGCCTCCCTCGCCGGCAGGGATGTCGGCCCCCGTGTGTCCACAGCCGCTTACAGGCGCAGACCTGCTCACAGGATCAGGATCTTTTAGTCCAAGTTTCCCTTTTCTATGTAGCACAATCGGTTCAGGCCGGTCAGACCTCTATGGAAAACGGGCTGCGATGACATTATGGGTGACCCCCCCCCCTGAGGAAGACATGGGAGATGAAGGGCACACGGGGGGGGTTAAGGACCTGACACCGCCGTGCGGAGACACGGCAAAAGCGCCCGGGGATTCAGAGCTGCAGCGTGAAGCCCAAGTTCAGAGACATGAATCTTACATCAAGGAATAAATGTCTGACAGATGCACTGGAGTTTAAGTTCATTGGGACCAGCAGCCGTCCTTAAATAGATCTTTCATTTGATGGCTCACTGACGGCCAAGCTCGACCCCCCCCCCCTCCCCACGGCGATGACCAAACAGATGAGGAGGAGGAACACAGTTGGACCATGTACGCTGGCACTTAGTATGTGTGCTGGTATCCCTTTCAGAAAAGCAATTTCCACAATGCATTATACCTCAGATGCAGATGTACCACCCCCCTCCCACCCCCCCCCCACCCCCCCCTGCTTTTACAATATAACAAACCTGTGTTCAGAGTGTGAAAAAAAATATAGGAGCTGTACATAAGCACCTGGACGTGATGGCAAGATCTTGTTTTTTATTCAACAAAAGATTAAACCCAAACATGTGCTCTCTCGGCACCTGGCACGATTGTATGTAAGATTTTTATGACGTCAAACATTTATATGGCTGTAACTGGGTTCAATTGGAGATCGGTCCTTGGGTGTATGAGTTTGCCGTGAAATGTGCAGTAACAGACACGAGGATCCATAAACAGTCTAATATTGTCTTCTGTCTCCTCACACACTGTGATTCCGGCTGACCTGCCTCCTCATTTTCTGCTGAATAGAGCTCAAAGTTTCTTGAAAAACACTGCCGAGCTTATCAGAAACCACAGGGCCATAAGGGAGTGAAAATTGCTGTAGATTCTCAAGTCTTTCACGACTTCACACCTTACTGGGAGGTCAGGAGGGCACACAGGGATACATGCCAGTGTTTCAATAAAGACTCCAGCTGGGCATGTTGCTTTGTGGGTAGTTGCAGAATATATTCTGGTCCCAAGAAAGATC